CTAGCTAAAAACTACCTAAGAGCCAGGGAGAGCTGTGTCCCGGTGTCTGTCCATGCTGCAGACAGCACCATCCAGGAGCAGGATGTGGGGGACTGAGGGCTCTTTCTCAACACAAACTGCGGCTCCTTCTTCCCCCCCTTCGCTCTCTGAGCCAGTCTGAAAGTGCAGAACTTAATATGTAACGTAAACCAGGTGACTGGGGGTACAAGCATCACAAAGTCACCCCGTGACACAACCACATTATGTGTGGGGGCACTCCTTTTGGAAAAAGGAATGGAAAAACATGGGAATTACACACAGGTGGGAAATTTAGCAGCAGGAAATGTATTTTCTTTGGAAAAAAATAAAACCAACCAAGCAGAATTAATTGTTTAAGACTAAAGTTTTACCCAGGGTCAAAAGAGATGAATGAAGCTGTTGTAAGCTGATCTGAATTAACATATGTGGGGTTTATCCATTTTAAGGTTGGGTTTGTTGTGCAAGGGCTAACAACAAGGAGAAAAGGAGTTAGAACCCTCCTGACCAAAGAAATAAGGAAGCTGATGAAAGTTTTGATAAGGAGCTGTGGACCAGCATCCAATTGGACTCAGTTGTGTTGGGAGCACCTGATCCTGAGTGGAAGCAGAGAGACTGCTCCAGAAATGGGTGAAATACACTTTGATCCAGTTTGTGATTTATGTGTCAAATCTCAGTTCTGGCAGTGGGAAGCCATTCCCCCTTTTCCTGGTAATCCAGGACCTTGTCCAAAGTCCGTCTCTTGGAACCTCTTTGGGCACCTGAAGGGGCTCTAAGGTCTCCCAGGAGCCTTCTCCAGCTGAACAATCCCAGCTCTCCTTGGATGTATCCAGAGTAGAGGAGCATCTCTATGACCTCCTCTGGAATCACTGCAGAAGGTTCCATGTCCTTTCTTTTTTGGGCTCTCCAGAGCTGGACACAGGACTCCCTGCATGGAAAGAACTCCCTGCATGCAAATGGAGCATGACATACCCAAGATAAAAAAAATAAAAAGTCTCTGTGATTATTTATTGTTATTCAATGTGCAGCCTCTAAACACAACCACATTAATGCATTAAAATATAGCTCCCTTTAGCCACCTAAATAATTTTAATCAGAAACATGAGCATTTCCAGTACTCTGGCTTGGGTTAGTGATGGAGTGTCACTCAAACTCTAGTCAGGATGCAATTATAATCCAAGACTTTTCCTGAATATCTCATCCTATTTTCATTTTGAACTAGCTGGCACAGTCATACTGCTTTTTTCTGACTTGTACTAAGATCCTGCTTCTGTGCTTGTGTGTTTCATTCTCAGGCTGCAGTTTCCCCTGTTTGTGTTTCTCCAGGTCTCTGGCTCCTGCTATGCCAATACTTGCTCCTCTGATATTGAGATTACTGGAAGTGTTTAACCTAGAGCTTCATGCAGAGAATACAGAATCTCAAGCATCTGCATTGGGCCCACTGGGTACTGGCCCCATGGGCACAGTGCTCAGGGAAGTTGTGACCCTTCTTCTTTTGCACTCAAAAATAGGGTCTGGCAGGGCACCTGGATACATTAGCCAGCTGACTGGAAGTGGAAGCTGCTCAAAACAGTCAGCAGTTTGTGTTTATATGTTTGATGGGGTTGGCTGAGTCAGAGTGGGTTGCTGGGGTAATTTCCTTGGGGCAGAAGGAGGCTCTGGGCTGCTGAGGAGGGTGCCACGTTCCCTTCACACTGATGTCTCCTGAAACAGTTCTCAGACCTGGATGGAAGATGGTCTGGGGCTGGAAGATGCTCTGCAGCAGAGGTGTCTGTCAGGATGGTGCTCAGCCAGCAGAGTCCACTATTTTCCAAAATCCATAGCAAATCTGTTTCCACACTAGCAGGAGGCTCAGCAACAGATTTTAGTAGCCTAAAAGCAACTTTCCCATGGAAAATTTTGCCTGACAGGGAGGAGGGCAGGGCCAGGGACCTCAGCCATGGTGCTTGCAGAGGCTCTCCTGGGAGCTGGTGGTTGGGGACTGCAACTATTTCCAAATAAACCTGTAAAACCCAAAAAACCTGGACATTTTTTGGACCAAAACCTTGGTGCACATCCCTCTGGATGAGGGTGCCAGCTGGGAGGATGTACTCAGTTGTGGGTGAGCACATGAATTCCTAATTGTGGGATTAACCCATCCCTGCTCTGTGCAGGTGCCAATTCCAGCAGGCTGTGTGATCACACACCTCTGCTGCCTTCAGTATAGCCTGGGGGCTCCTCAAGGATTCTTTTCTCCATGGCTGAGCACATGAGCTCTCCCATGGAATCACTTGTGCCTCTGATCTTTAGTTTTCCACCAACTGGGAAAATATGTCCCTTTGTAATTTTCATGAGGGTGGCAGAGCTGCCTGTCTCCCACCACCATGTGTGTCTGAGAGCCATTTAGCTGTGAATGTGGTGACAAATGTCAGCACAAGGCTTATGCTGTAAAAAGCATCGAAGGAGGGGGCATTGGAAATAAATGATGAAATATTTGGGAGTTTATTAGTGTTTGAAGGACAACACATCACAGATGAGAGGCATCTTGAGGCTGACAGTGCTGAAAGCCACAACTGAACCTACTGGGCTATAAAACTGCCACAAGATTTCCTCTCCCTCCTGACTTCACATCCTTCCCAGAGTCCTTATCTGCCTGGGAAGATACAGCAGGGTTCAACATCCAGGAATGGCCCAAAGCTGTGGACCACCAGACAGATATGCGTTGTCTGAGGAAGGGGAATGACAGCCCCACTTTGCTTTTAGTACCAGCCACAAACCCTCCAACTGATGTGCCATAGAACTGGGAGGTCCTGGCTCTGGCAGTGGGGATATTTGTACAGGGCAGCCTGCTTGGAAGGTGGAATGAAGGCACAGAACTGCCATAGCAAATCAGGATCATGAGCTTCCCTCTGCCTCCATTCAGACTCTGGAGGACAGGTTTTCTCCATTGCTGGCCCTTGGTTTGCTGGGGATGTATCTCAGGGCACCCAAACTTTGATCCCAGGTGGTGGGGCTGAGGGTGGGACTCCAGGGCTGGTAAAAACCTCTGTAGTGGGTTTAATGTATCAACCAGATAAAGAACCTAAATAAAAATCCATCTCAGTGTGATGGAGAAGCTTCTGTGTGTCATTCCACTGGGATATCCCACAGCTTGTGTGAGGTGCCTCTGCCCAGGGAGGCAAAGATTTAGTTTTAGATAAGCACTGTTAAAGTGAGAAGTGTGGCTTTAAAGCCCAGGAAGAGTAAATTCCATTCCTCTGCCTCAGGGAAGAGTTGCCCCATGCCAGACCCCTCATGGGGTGGCAGCCCAGGGTGTTCTGATTGGGTTTGAGCCCCTGGGGTTTCTCCCTTGTTATGTCCCTATTAGATCCTGATCTTAAACTCCACCCTGACTCTGCCCCATAAAACCCACCACCCTGCCTCTGTTCTGGGTTCTCTGTCTCTGATTTAAGTTGAATAAGTGGTTTCCTGAGCTTAACCAAGCAGAGACCCATCTTGTTGAATTCTCATGCCAATCACCAGTAACTGTAGCCTCCCTGGACATGGTCCTGCAGCCCTGGAATGCAACAAGCTTGGGTATCCCATAGCATGGATATCCCACTGTGGATCCCATCTTTGGAGTTCTGTTTTGCTTTTCCCAGCACTGAAAGGTACCAGGATAACATAAAGGGTTAACACAGATCCAAAAAGGCTTCAGCCTTGTCAGAAACACAGTCATCAATCTCAGAGTTACTTGATAACTTTAAATACAATCATGTAATCAGCAGGAACCTGTAATTATTATTTATGTGCATGGTGCTTACTAAATAACAGTGCTCTCCAAGGTTCTGTATGATGAACAAATTAATTTTGCATCAGAAGAGCTTGACCAGAAATCTGTTTGTGTCTGAATTTCATTTATAAACATTGATATATGAAATGAAGGTTGAGTTTAATTGACCCTCCCTCCTGCTGTGAAATACATTACATTTTTATTCTGTATTAGCTCACCTGGCAAGGGGGAAAACCTGGAGGACATTTTACAGCTTTGATGATACTTGTCTGGAAAACCTGTGTGGGATTCTCTTGGATGAGATGGTGGATGGTGGATACCTTTGTGGGGAGCCACCTCCATGCTCTGGGCACATGGATTTGGGGTAAAAGGATACAAAAAAGCGTGGAGCAGTGGGATGCTGAGCCCACTGCAATGTGAGGATACTCTCATGGAAACTGGGGATGGGACATGCCAGGGTTGTCTTTTCCAAAAGATAAACATGCCCCAGAAGTCTTTGTAAGAGGAATTGAAGTATTTTTAATCAAACAAGACTGAGAATACACACTCCAGCTATGGAAAGCAAAGTCACATCAGTTGGAGCAGACCACCAGGAGGAGAAGGGAAAAACAGAGATGTGAACACAGATGCTTCTGTTTGGGTTTCTTTCTTTGGTTTTTCAATTTCCAGCTTCTATCCACCAAAATACCCTACTTTAGAAAAATCCAAATTTATCATGCAGCACATCATTTTTTGGCAACATCACTTGCAGGGATGATGAAAAAAAGTATCTCTGGGGCATTTTCCCTTCTCCATTGCCAGCAGATCTTTATTAGCTCCTGCCAAAATACCCAACAGAGAAACCAAAACACAGAAGACGCAAGTCTACTCCTTGTAGGGCACCAGCAGAAAGTGTCCATAGAGCTGGGAATTGCCACTTCTCCCATTGCATAACTCCAGGGGTCTTTTTCACACCCGTATTTTGAAGAAGGGGCAGTTTTTGGAACCACTGGCAGTGGCTGAACTTGAACAAAGACAGAAACGTGCCCCATGTGCATGTTATGGTCCTTTTTGTAGTCACTGTGTCATACTGGGGACTGTTGCTGTTCCCAACAGGCTATTGGGGTCAATGGGATATTTCTAGTTTTGCTGCACTGTAGACATGCAGGTAGAAAATCAAAATGGGAGGGAAGTGGGAGGAATTTGCTCCAAACTACTGAACCTCGCAAATGTTTGAAGAACCCAGAGGTTCCCTTTAAAAAAAAAAAAAAAAAAAAAAAAAAAAAAAAAAGCAAGATCTTATTCCTTTCTGGTGATATATTCTGAGGAAATCACAGAATACTGCAATTTCAAAGATGTTTATATCTGCCCAGGGCAGGAAACCTTTATGCCTGTTCTTTATAGAGGGAAAACTGAGGCACAGAAGTGTGAAGGGGCTCACACCAGATCCTGTAAGGCCCCAGTGGCAAAATCCCTGTGATGCAGAGGGCAGACAGCCCATAAATGTACTGTAATCTGTCCCCTGCCTGGGCATCCCCAGACCTTGTATGGGACAAGGAAAGGGTGGCTCCAAAGAGGTGAAGGCAAATCCCTCTACTTGCAAGGAACTCTCTGCTCAGCTGCTTTTGGTAACCACATGGAAGAGGGCAATGGGACAGGGAGAACTGGGGACAATCTGGAGTCCCCAGAATGGGGAGAGAGATAGGAAGGGAGGGAAGGAGGCTGCTGCTCCTCCAAGGCACTTAACCCTAGTGTGGGGATGGTTTGGTCCCATCCCCTGCACAAGAGCAAGAAACAGCTTTGGCACTGGGCCCACCTGCCCAGGTAAAAGCAGGGCAAGGAGGAGGGAGCACAGCCAGGGTCTTTCCCTGTGGTAGCTGCCTTTGGGGACCTCAGCCACTGCTCCACTACAGGGCTCCCTCACCTTTCCACCCTCTGAGCACAGACATGGAGTCACCCTGAGGTCCAGGTCTTTGCAGAGACCTGTGGATCCATCTGGGATGGACCAGAGGATTAAACTGATTCCTGTGTTTCCCTCTAGATCAAGCCCACTCTGTGTGGCTGTTCAGAGCCCCTGGGACCCATCCCCGTGGGAGGGGAATTCCCTCCCCTCTCCCATCCCATTGCTTTATCCCACCTTAGGTGTCAAGATGAGAAATGACCTGGTCAGACCAAGCAGCAGTTACAGGACATCTGGAGACCCAGCAAGAGACAGGGGAAGGACTCAACCCCAGTGTTACAAAAATCCAGCCACATGAAGCAATTTCTACAATCACTCCAGGGCTCCCCATCCATCCCCTTCCAACACACATAGGACTTTGGCTCCTCTAGAGAGTTCCCTCCCCACCAGCAGCATTCCATCATGTGCTCACTGGAAGGCTGACCCAGCTTCCCAGGGAACTAGCCCCATAATCTGTCCCAGCAATGTCCTGGTGTCCTGTCACCTGAAAGCAGACAAACCCGATAAAGGCAGTGACATGAGACATCGTGCCTAGGATGGAGCTGGCAGAAAGCTACTGCAAAATCTCCAGATCCTTCTGGCTTTTCATGGCTCTTTCTGCCATGCCAGCAGGTCACACAGCTGCCAGGGAGATGACAAAGCAGCATCTCAGCTGTCCTATCTTCTAGGCCTTCCCAGCATATAGGGCAGAAGCTGTGCAGGTGTCCCGTGACCGAGTGAGTTCACGGTCTCCTTGCGGGGCTGGGACCACAGGCAGGTCCTATGCTGGTCCCCACAGTGGGGACATCGGCTCCCAGTGCAACCTCTCGCTCCCAGCTCAGACAGCTGTGGATTGCTTGATGCTGTGGAAGCTGACACGGGTTGGGGAGGTGGGGATGGACATGGCCCTCGCTACGCGGGCACGGATGGAATGCTTGTCCTGCCACCGGTGCCACCGCTTCCGTACAGCTGATCGCACCTGGGCAAGATGAATGAGGGACATTTGGTCATCACATAAAGATTTTTCAGAGGCACCAGCCATCCTTCTCTTCAGTCCTCCAGTCAAAAATGGATTACTGGTATGTGATTTGGTAACAAAACAGGTTCATGTGGGATAAACTTTCCTGAGCTAGCAAAGATATTGGGAGCATTTGGAGGAGGCAGAGGAAAGAGCTGCCCAAATATCTGGCCCCAGGATTCACTTCTACTCTCAGCTCCTGTGCTTTCTGCTGTTTGTGTCTTGGGTCAGACCCTGGGAGATGTCCTCATCCATACATAATCCACATGTGTATGGGGCTCCACCTGGGGAAGGATTTCCCTGGCATGGGGAGGACCCTTGGCTCTGCTGCACACAGGTGCACCCTGAGACCATTTGTTCTTGGGGGTGAATTTTCCTTCTCCAGAGGAGACAGACAGCAGCCATTCCTGTCTGGGCAAAATCTGGGGCTGCAGATGTAATTGGGGCTGGAGTGAAGCACTAAGTCTGGTCACCAAAGACCTTCAGGAATTAGGGACCAGCACTCTCCAAGCCATGTGCACCAGTAGAGCCTCATACTGAACTTGTCTGCTTGCAAGGAAGGGTCCAGACCCCACAAAAAACTCCAGCCCCTTGTGCTCACCTCGCTGTTCAGGAAGCAGTAGAAGACAGAGACGAAGAAGCCCTGGAAGGAGACAAGTACAACCAACAGGTACTCCCAAGTCAAGAGCTTTGGAACAGCTCTGGGGTTTGGGGATGTCTGGTTTTGGGAGGGGGCAGAAGCAGGATGAGGCATCAGCCAGGATGGGCTTCTCCACATCCCTTGGTGAGGGGACTGGGATGGAAGCCAGTGTGGAGGACCATTACCTGGAAAGATTCCAGAAGGGAGTTGAAGTAGATGAAGACTATCCTGGAGATCTCATCCTCCCCTGGGTTGACAAAGAACAGCATGTAGGTGATCCCCAGCAAGGGCAGCAGCACCAGTGTGGCCTTGACTGCTTTCCTAGGGGGAAAACAGGGACCTGAACTGCTACAGCACAGTCCTGGGCACAAGGACTCTGCCCATCCCACTCCCACTCCACCACCATGGCTTGGACTGGTCTGCTGGGACTTGAAAACCAGTGACCGTGGAAGGATGGAGGCAAGTTGGGCTGTTTCCAAGTGCAATTCCCAAGAGACTGGGCTGGTTTGAGCCCTTCTCTGCTTCTCCGCCCAGAAGAGGGCAGCAGAGAGCAGAGGACTGACCTTGAGCTGGCATAGAACGATCGCTTGGCTGAGCTACAGCTCAATTAAAGAGAAATTAAGGAGGGAATAATAATTCACACCCTTCAACATGAGTTTGTGAAAACCTTATCTCAGGTAATTAATTTGAAATCTTGATGAGATTACAAGTGCAGTTTTTGAAAAGTTATAGTGCTGATACAGAGAGTGTGGGAAAGATTTGGACTTGGCACGTCATTCCTTTGGATCAGGGGACAAGAACAATGCCAAGTCATTCACTTTTTGCTTAAAGATCCTGTTAATGGACAGATTCCAACAGTAGGTGGTCATCCCTGGAAGGTCTGAGCTGGGCAGGGAGGGGGTCTAGGACCTGTTTTGCATCCCTGACATTTGTGTCCCTGACACAAATGGGCTGATGACATGGAGGATCTGGAGGGACCCAAGGACAGGAGATGGAAAACTACAGTATGGCACATTCACTGGTGTAGCTTCTCCAGAGGAGCAGCCACGGCAGCAGGGCATTTTATCACCTAAGGTGAGCAGGAGCCCTGCAGGGCTGTCCCTTGCCTGGTTTAAGCAGAACTGCACAGTTCATAACATACCAAGTTCTTCAAGTTTTCCTGTCTCAGAGAGTATTTCTGGGAAATGAAAATGTTCTGTCCAAAGCTGATAAACCCTCCCAAAATGAGGCAAATACTGGAAAATGAAAAGTCTCTCAAAATTGCTGACTGGGGCCAACCAGCCTTTTCCCAGAACCTTTATTTTTGCTTACCCCAAGATGAACCCCTCATTCCAGTTCAATATTCTGTGATTAGGAAAGCTGGCATTTTCCAATAATAGAACCAGATTTTTTTCCATTCTCAGCTGCAAAAGCCGTCCTTCACCTCAAAACAGCTTCTCTTGACCCAGCACACAGAAAGATTCCCCAATTCCTGCCCACAAAATGATCCAGACAGAGGCAATGATGAATACTTCTATTCCAGGTACTTTGGGGAGCTGCTCTGACCATGCACCTCTTATGTTATGTGCAAAATATTCCCCAACAGGCAAAGAAGGGTTAATTCTTCCTGCCTTGCACTGTGGGAGTCCTGTCTTCTTCTTTACAAGGAGGTGTTGGAGTGGCATCGATTCATGACTCCTTCCTCAGCTTTTGCTTTTTTTGTCAAGCAGTAATTTAATTCTCACCTCCATGCCAGGATTTGCAGCTCCCAGCCTGGAGAGCTCATCAGGTCCTACCAGTACAGACTTTTGCAAAGAGACTCAAATCCCAAGGACTCACTTCAAAGGCAGAAACAGCCATCCACACTCTACATCACAAGGCTCTCCCTGGCCAGATTTAATGACCATGTGCCTCCAAAGAGCCTTTGAGGTGCTCTCAGGTGTCTCTCCATGCTCCCATCTCCTTGCTACCTGGCTTATGGGACTGTTTCCATCCCCACTAATCATGAGAGAATCCAGTTCCTAGGTTGGCTTCCTGCAGGGTCACTCATGCTCTTACGAGTTGAGAAAATTAGGAAATTAAGATTTTAACTAGAATAGGAGCAGTTTATGAGAAAAGTCAAAGTAAAAGAAATGAAAAAGCTTTTAAGGTAGAAGCAATGTAGGAATAAGTGTGCTTAGTTAAAGGCAAGCCTATACAGGTCCTTCTTGTAAAGGGAATACAATGTAGCCAACAATTGCCAAGATTAAATGAAAGGTCCAAGGATATATATATCATTCTGCTTGTCTTAAGTTGTATTTGTAGAAGGAGACAAGGAGGATGAACTATTGTGAGAAAGAAAGAACTGTGTCTACACCTGCAAGCAAGAGATATGAACTGTGTCTAGGAGAAGAAGGAGCGCTGCCAACAAGACACAGTTGAAAAGTTTAAGCCTGAGGAAAAGAAAGATTTCATTAAAAGACCCCAGACCCATTTCAAAAAAGGACTGAGCATGCCCAGAGGGGCGTGGAGCTCATTACTATATGAGATGTGAGCAGGCAGAGTCAGGCAATGAATATGTGTAGGTGTACTTTGTAATCCCATGCATGTGTAATACTTGGGGAATAAACAGAGAATAAGGGGCAGAGGGGGACACGCATGACTTTGGGAGAGGACTGTGGTGTCTGGCTGTAATAAACATATCCTCCCTAACTGGAAATATTTAGAGAGTCCTTTGTCTGTAATTTTATTGCTTCACTTACCTGTACTGGATTGTCTCTGATGTGGTTGAAGCTCGGAGCTTCGTCATGAGGATCCGAACAATGTTGAATAGAAAGATGAAGTTGATCTAGGAGGAACAGGGTCACTGGTTAGTGTCTGCTCCCCCAGTATTTCCTCCCATTTCCACTGCAATGTTGAGGGGGAAGATGGGGGAGCCAGGGGAAATGGGAATGTTTCCTCTTGAACCTGATTTACTGCCTTTCAGGCACCATGAGAGGTTGTCTGCCTTTTTTAAAAGCACTTGAACAATAAGATTTAGGAGTTTAGTCAAGGGATCAGGGCAGCAGGGCATGCCAGGAGATTGTCAAGGAAGAACAAAGACTTGAGAAAGGGTTGAAGGTGAAAAAGTAGAGGGAGAGGAAGAATCAAAGGTGAAGAGTGGCTGCCATCACAGCCAGGATCTGCCTGGCTGCTCTCCTGGCTGCCAAATTGCTAACAAGGGAATGGGAAGGTGTCTTTGGAGCTGAGCAAAACTGACAGGAATTAGTAGTGGCCTGACTGCCTGACAGGCTGGGAGATGGGAAGCTGGATCAATTATTCCATCATTCCAGTGTTTTTTACTCCCTTGAGTTTTCTCAGCATTAGGCAAGGAGAAAGGAACAGTTTTGAGACTTTGTTCATGGCTTTCCTCCTGCAAACACATGTGACCCTTGGATCAAGCATTGCTGCTCAACTGGGGACCAGGAATCAGAGAGGTGGAATCAGGATCAGGGAATGGAGTCAAGGATCTCAGGCTTCTGGCAAATGCTTGGCAAAGCATCCACCCACACCCAAACAATGCCAGGGCAGGGATGGAGGAACCTACTGATGCATGTTGGAATCTGCTGATGGGACATCCCTGTCAGAATGAGGTTCCAGGCTCCTTCTGCAGCCCACCCCAAGCCCAAAATTGCTTAAGAGGCAGTTTGGGTGAGAGGCAGTGCTGCTGTGGGGCAGAAGAACCAGCCCAAGCAGAGTGAAGGAGGGGGCAGTACCCTGTTCAGAAGCAGCTGTGTCCCACCTGCACACAGAAGGACTCTGTATTTAGCACACAAGGTCACTTTGCTCTTACCAGAAGCACCAGGATCATGGGGCCTTGGTAAATGTAGTCAGTATAAACACCCGCTCGCTTCCCAAACCAGCACCTGCAAGGCAAGGACAAGTGGTGTCAGGGACAAGCCTGACTTACGAGTGACCTGGATAGACTCCTGTCCTTGCAGTCTCTGTAAGTCACTGTCTGTGAGGTGAAAGCACTAAAACTCAAACTGCTGCAGCCTTTGTGAAGTAGCTTCCCTGGGAACTCAGGAGGTGCATATAGGTTTGTGGGAATGTTAATGGACCCCATATGCATGTGGGAGCTAGTTATTGCAGGACAAGCAGGGACACCCTCCTCGCAAAGGAGGTGACTGTTCCCACTGTTCTGCAGGGGGGCAGCCTCACCTCACATCCTGGGGGCAATTTTGGACACCAAAATATAAGAAAGATCTGAAGTCATTAGGAAGCATACAAAGGAGAGATACGAAGACTGGGAGCAGTCTGGAGGGGCCACATGAGAATCAGCTGAGGGCACTTGGAATGGTGAGCTGGGGTAGAGGAGACTGAGTTTTAACTTCACCAGGGCTGCAGCTCCTCCCCAGGGGCAGTCCCCATCTCTGCTCCCTGTGACCAGGGACAGGACCCAAGGAAATTGCCTGAGGTTGTGTCACAGGGGATTTTGGGATGAATATCAGGAGAAGGTTCTTCCCCTAGAGGGTGCTTGGGCACTGCCCAGGCTCCCCAGGGAATGATTACAGCCCCAAGGCTGCCAGAGCTCCAGGAGCTTCTGGGCCATGCTCTCAGGGATGCCCAGGGTGGGATTGTTGGGCTGTCTGTGCAGGACCAGGAGTCAGAGCCAATGATCCTTGTAGGTTCCTTCCAGCTCAGGATATTCCATGATTCTGCATAATCTCCCACACACAGGTCTGGGTCAGCTCTGTCCTCAGCAAATTCTGTGGGAGCTCACTCCAGTGTATCCCTATCCTGGGAGCACCTTGTCAGGGCTGTTCAGTCAGTGCCTGTGTGAGTAGCATGGGGCTTCTGAAGTCAGCAGGGAAAACTACCTCTGGAAAACAGATCAAGCTGACATTCATCTCAACAGTCTCCTTTCAACTTCCCACTCTGGGATGAACTCTCAGGTGCCTATGAAAATGGCTCAGGTGGGGGTAATTTGGATCTCTGCTGGTTAAATCCCAGCTCCCTTTAGCAAACCTATTTCAGGAGATCCAGTTTAATCTCTTTTTCCCCTTAAAAATCACATTTGTCTTTTGAAGAGAAACCAAGCAGGGGCAGGGCTTATGCTGCAGAGAGCTGAAAGGTGGGATAAAAGAAAGAATGGAAGAATATTTTCTTTTTTTTCCTTCCTGACAGAATTCCTGACACAGCTGATCCCTGAGGATTTGGGATACAAAGAAGAATGGAGGATGAGAGCAATAGGCTCACTTCTCGTTGTCGTAGTAGAGCTTCCCAATGGCCCAGGCAACGATGATGGGAAAGGGGATACCTGCAGGGGAACACACAGGTGAGTCTCAGAGGTGCAAGATCACCACAAAAACACACTGTAACAGGGGTTCTCGCACACACAAACCACCCAGTGAGATGACATGTCCATGCAAATCCCATCCTCCTGTTCTTGGCAACCTTTTTACAGCTATTTGTATGCAAGAAGAACTGGAGCAGGGGATGGAGGGGGCATCACCCATCACTAAACTCTGGGTACCACTGTGTGAGGGGAAGCCTGGTACTCACACCAGCCGATGCAGATGAACATCCACTTGCGGAGCTTGTCCGTGGAGTAGGTGAGCACGATGGCCGTGTGCAGGTAGCAACCCTCGCCGAACATCCAGAAAAAGTTGGTGACATGGAAGTAATTGTAGGCAGCAGTGACCAAGCGGCACCAAACCTGCCAGGAGATGTGGAGCCTGTTGAGCTCTGCGTCACAGTGGTGCAAACAATGCACGGAGCAGCATGGACCCCACCATCATTTGAGCAATCAAACCCATGTTTCTCATACACATGGGGTGCCTGCCAGCCACCAGCCAGCACTATTTGTCCCCTGAAATTGCTTTTCTAGCCACATCTTAGTGACTTCAAACTGAAAGAGGGTAGCTTTAGGGAAGGAATTCTTCCCAGGGAAGGTGGTGAGGCATTGGCAGAGGTTGCCCAGAGAAGCTGTGGCTGCTCCAACCCTGGAAGTGTCCAAGGCCAAGTTGGATGGGGCTTGGAGAAACCTGGGATAGTGAAGGTGTTCATGGCCAAGGGGTTGGAACTAAATGATCCTTAAGGTCCCTTCAGACCCAAACCACTTTGTGTTTCTGTGATCTCCAGGGTCCTCACACCCCACAACTGCTCAGGACTGGGCTCAGCCTGGCAGAGCTGCACCTACCACATTGCTCTCGTGCACCTCTGGGTTCATGGTGAGCTGCACCACGAACCATGTGGCATTGCGTAGGATGAAGGCTGTGATCAGGTTCCAGTGGATGATGTTTCTCAGGCACCGTATGCTCCTGGAGAAGAGTGGAACAAGTCCCAGTCAGAGCAGGGGGACTGGGGATAGTGCTGTTTGTGGAGCTGAGTGTCTCTGTTGGGACCCCAAGGATGATCTGCTGGGACCATGCCTTGGGTGAAGTGGGCAGGAAGAATACCAGGAGGTGGAAGGCACAAAGGAGGACTCTGCCTCCATAACCAGGTGCTTTAAAAACTCAGCAGAAGAAAAACAGCCCTGAGATAGGCAGCATCGCTGCAGCCTGGAAGGCAGTGGCTGTGAGGGAGGAGATGGCAAAGCACAGGAGCTGGGTCCACCTCTGCCTGAGATGACCTCCCAGGAACATGGCACCAGGTTTGTCACTCACCGCAGGCGCATGAAGAGGACAAATGCCACGAGGAGGGCCCCCAGCGAAACACAGTGGCCCAGGTAGTTAATGATGACAGCAATGTGGTAGTGCAGCTTGCTTTTCTTCTGGAAGTGAGGGAGATGGGCAGAGGGTCAGCAACAGCCCTGGTACTGGCACAAACCCACCTCTTCCACCACATCACCTTTGGCAGCTGCACCTCAAATTTTGGGCCCTTTTTCAGGAAGCAATTTGAGCCCACCCTGGGACAGGACAGAGGGAATGGAAGGAGATGGGGCTAATGGTGGGAAGGAGAGGCACCAGCCTGGTTTCACATCCCACTTATACCAGAGCAGCTCATGAGACAGCGCAAACCATCCTCTGGGGAAACCCTGCTGGAACTCAGCTGAGCTCACTGGAATTTTATATCTCAGTTCACCCCTATTGCCCTGGGGGAAGCTGAGAGGCTGGGATGAATTTGGGCAGAGGGAGAGTATGAGTGATAAATGAATTAATTGATGACTTCTTATGTTAGGTAGTCATCCAGTTGGTGAATTAGCAACTAAGTAAGTGAGAAAACCACTCCTGGCAAGAGATATCAGCATCTTAAATACCAGAGTTGATATCAACCGCAAATGAAAAACTCATATCTCTTCTCTGCTTCAAGGGATGGCTTGACCTACTCAGGAGCTTGTAATTCTTGATCCTCATTTTTTATCTCTTTCAGCTTCCCAAATAACTCCTTTATTTCATTGCCAGCAGGCAAGGACGGGGTTTTCACTGAGGGCTGTGTCAGGAGGGAGCTGCAGGAGAGTGACAGGGCTGATCTGCACCCAGAGGCCCTGGGGACCTCACACTGCCAATCCTCTTGGATTTTTAACGGAGATTGAAACAGGCATGGCTTTATTTCTGATGGGGAATAAAAATGCAAATCAAGAAGGGGTAATAATTGCCACATGTAACTTTATCATTGGGATGCTGTTGCATGCTCAGTCCTCAGCGCTGAGCCATTCCTGGCCTGGATGCTGTTGCCTTTCAAAACTCCATCATCTGTTTCTTGCCCTCCTGCCAAGACCGCAGTGACTCCCAAGCTCCTACCTCTTCACTGAGGATCTCCTGGCACTGGGAGTAGTTGACACGTGCTGCCCAGCTCCCATTTGCGAGGCACTCCCTGTACCCATTATCTGAAAGATAGGATGACCATCCAAGAGTTAACAGAGCATGGGGATGGGCACAGGCATGTGACCTGACTGTCACTAATGCAGGGCACTGGCATCAGGCCAGTGGCGTCTTCTGCTTTGAAGGCAGCTTAACTACTGCCTTGGTCACAACTGCAGAACCAAAATCCTTGCAATATTTCAGACCTGCTCAAGAGCTTTGGGTCTGCACCACATCTGCCCTTGGCACAGGGGGACCCCAATGCCTCCTCACCATACACAAGGATGCAGCAGAAGCAGCACCAGTTAGATTCTTCTTCCCTTTCACTCTGCTGTTTGCTTGGGTGATCTTGTGCTAGCCCATGATCTCTGGTGGGATGGTAGCACAAGGTTTCACTTATCTCCCTCAATTAGGAGTTTTTTGCCTCCCAGCGAGGACAGTAGGTGGCAAAGCTAATTGGGAAGGAATGGCGCAGGCTCCCCAGAGAGTCTGGGACTGGTGTCACCAGTGGGGTGATGCCAGCACTGGGGTGAGACTGAGCTTCCATTAATGGGAGACTGTGAGCCTTGTCAGGGTGATGGGGTAGGAAGGGCTCAGAGACAGGGTCAAGTTGTGATTAATGCAGAGAGGCTCCTACAACAGCACAGGAGGCACCACAAAGCAGGAGCTGTGTGTCTGTGCCATCCTCCATGGCTGCAAGAATGTGCAAGATGGAAAAAATTACGGTTTTTTTGTGAGAAGCAAGGTTTTTCTTTCATCAAAAACAGCTCTTGTGGTCAGAAACTCGACCTTATTCTAGGAACAACTTTGGGCACTTTCCATATGCAATTGCTTCATTCTCTACTCCCAGCATGTCACTGGCAGTAACAGTGCAGCCACCTGTTCCAGGAGGGGATGAGTTAAAAGTCCCCCACTCTTTGCTCAGCTAGGGGTTTCAGACCCCTGTACCACCTCCAAGGCCAGGGCAGGATCACTTCTCTGCCTTTGTCCCCAAGACGGGGATATCAGCCCTCTCCTCCTCCCAGGAGGACCTGCTTATAAAGCTGCTTTTCTGAAACGACCCTCCCTGAAATCTGGGGTCTGAGGCACTGCTTTCTTTATGGTTGATGAGCTTTATTCCCAGAGGTGTATTGTCCCTTGTGTCCCAGAGCCCTCGCTGGCCATGTCCCCAGCAGTGCTGCCCCTCTTACTGGTGGTGTTGTACCGCACACCATAGAAGAACTCGGGGCAGGGCCGAGCCACCAGCTGTCCCACCGCGCTCCGGGGCCAGCATGTGCCGATCAGGTCCACCGAGGCGTTGCACTGGGGACCTGCAAGGACCAAGTGCACAGGGTTAGTAGAGGTCTGTGGGTCACCATGGAAAGGTCAGGATTTGCCTGGAGAGCTGGGGCTGCTGGATGAGCTGATGGCTAACCACAAGCTCAGCCCCCAGAAAACCCTCATGCCAGACATCAAATAGGGGCTATGCAAGATTTGCAAGGGCTGGTTGAATCATCATGGCCATGACTACTACTCTGGTCCTGTCTTTACTACTGGGCTAAGCCCAATTATGGCACAAACTTGACTCTAGACGTGACTTTCATGTCTACTTGGGGTTCCTTGGCTCTGGTTTCTCATCCCTGCTCCTTCCTTCAGCCATGACTTTGGCATCTAGCCCTACAACAGGCAATAAGCCAGACTTGCTCTTCCTCAGTGGTGCATCCAGTCTAGTTCTAAGCCTCTCCAAATATCTCACACTTCCTGGCTGCAAAATCTCCTTCCCAGCCATTCCTGTTGGTCTCTTCCAGTCTTTCCTGGGTAGAAAACTCCAAAACTGCTGCTATTTCAGATTTCAAGGATTTGTGTGCTTTTCCCATCTACACAAGTGTGCTAACATAGGCATTAGGTAGGCCAGATTGCAGGCTCTTTTATGTATAATTTGTGTATATTTAGAACAACATGTACTGTAGCTAAATATGTCCCTGCTCCACCTCACAGTGAGGTTGGAAGCACAATGGCTGCAATATTCATATACTACAATCCAAGACAAGCAGAAAATGAGAGAGCAGGAGATGCTGGAAGGGGTAGAGTTCAGTCCAAACCACTCCTGGGTACCAGAGATGTTTGTGCAGTTTGCACAGAGACAGAAATTGCCATTACCTGAGACAAAACACCCCTATTCACAGCTCCTTGGGTGTGAGAACACAGCATTTTCTCTCCCCCTGGATTTGTGGTTGTTATTTGAATGCCTTTCCCAAAAATTCCTATGGATGGAGCTGGCTAAAGAGTGACTGAAGGAAAAAAAAGCAAAATACTGATGGTGATGATGATGATGGTTTTTATGGAGGAATATTTCTTTTCATCAATTATCTGAAAAATTCTCTCCTTGTTATTTTGTGATGTTCTCAGAGAATATTTTCAGGCCTTTCAGTGTCTTCAAATATCTTAGCAAGGGAAAACTGCTTCCAAGCATGGGAGCTAGGGAAGCATCACAGCATGGTGAGTGTTACCTTCTGCCTCCCATATCCTGTAGGGAGAAATTAATTTTAACAATGACCTTTGCTTTTCGCTTCGCTAATGTGTAGGGTTGCTGTGGCAACCTTCCCTTTAAGTTAACTGTTTTAAGCCTGTATTTTGTAGGAAACAAGGTGCCTTTTATCACGTCTGTGCCTTTCTGCATCCATTTGAATTTACTGAACTCCATTGTTGTGACCCAAATTTGACAGAGAAATAGAGGGTCACCATTAAAATTTTTATGATAATAAAATTTACATTTATCCATGTAGAGAAAAAAACAACCAGTAATTACTTGAACTAAGGAAAATGTTAAACTGCTAGTGCTCTCCCTGTTATCCACTGAGGTGAGAAGCTGTGAATGTCTGGGAAGGAGAAAGCTTCACTTGGAACAATGCAACACAGGAAAATAGGGCTTGCACAGTACTGATGGCCATGGCAGCTCATGCAGCTATCACAACCCCTCCCGAGGACTGGTAGGGCTGAGCACAAACTTCATTTTTTTTGCATACCCTTTTGCCTCAGTTTCCCTCCTGCATTCCAGGGTCTGTTCTGGGGGATGGGCAAAGATTGTTCAGGGAGGACAAACAGAAAGAGTGAGTAATTAAAAGTCAGCAGGGCCAGAGAGCAACAATGATGATACTCTCCACCAGTAAAACAAACCCACAGCAATGCCATTAATAACCAAACCCAAGAGAGACTCATGGAAATGATGTAGCCAGACAGAAGTGCATCATTCTGTCGTACGTCTGCTCAAGGCTGGATTTAATTTCTCCAAGGCTCTTGGTGGGGTGGTGCTTGGCACTCCTGTTAGAGCACGACAGGATCCCACCAAAGCCAGTGGGTCCCACCAGTCCCACCACAAGGAAGGTGCACCAGCATCACCAGGACCTCAGCCCTCCTTGTCCCATGGGTCAGAGTGGTGCTGTGGGGTGACACTGGGGTCTGGGGCTGCAGTCAGATGAGGAGATGCTCATCCAAGCTGTCAGATGCTCCTGGACCTCTCCTTGTGCTTCATCCCCATGCTGCCACTGGCAGCATTTGGAGCTCTGTCCCACCAGGTTTTCATCTAATGGGTGGCTGTAATATTTCCCCCAGGCTCACACTGAGAAAGGCTTGATGAAGAGAAGCTGCAGAAAGCAGATGCTGCTCTTTCTGCTCTCTCCAGCATACAGAAAAGAGAAAAAAAGCCCCTCCTGATGGGAAAGTGATAAGTAAAACAGTGAGGACAGAGTGCCACAAGGGCTGCAACATCCCCTTTACCCAGCAGAACGTTCTGCTCTGGCTCCCCCTGAGTGGTACCTGGCTCCCAGCATTTAGAACACTGTTTAGGATGGAGATGATACGTGTCCCATGCTTCCCTGCCTGCTTGGTGGCCCATCCATGTTTGCAGGGAGCTGTTCTCCAGGTTCTGAACATGAGTGCTCCGGCTTCTCAGCTCCATTGGCTGCACAGGTTTTGTCTTTGCAGATTTACAGTGAGAAAGGTCAGTGAATTTCCTACCTGCACTCAATCCCCCTAATTTGGCTTCTTGCCACACAGAAACACGGTGTTTGGAGGAGGAAGGAGCAGGCCCTACTTTGAAACAGGGAATGTGGCACAGGGGAAGTTGCTCCAATCCCTTCTCACCCTATTGCCTTTGGGTTGTGCTGCTCTGAAGCAATATAAAGCATTTACATTCCCCTGAAGAAAGAAGTGTTTGTCCAGGGACTTATACTGAGACAACTATGACAATAACTGTCTCAGGATAACTGTAACAATATCCCATCTGTTTCTAGAAAACATTCTTCTCCAGCCTGCTCCCACCACTCGCAGGGGCCTCCAAGGTGTCTCTGAGCTAAAGCCATGGAACTGTGTGACACCTGGCAGGGTAAAGCTCTCCACTCCCAGCTAACCTGCCAAAAGATTTTGAGCAAATTTAAAGAGGATTGAGCATGTTTATCCTGGACCAGCAGTACCAGATGCATGGCCACAGTGCTCTTGAGCTGGTGCCAGGAGGTCTGAAGTGTTATCATACCATCAAGCCATTGCTGGGATGCTCTGAAGAGGAGTAAAGCAAAGGTTGTACTGATACAGCTGTGCTGGTAAACACATTCTGATTTATACTGGGCAGAGCTGTGCACCAGCACAACATCCCAGTTTGTTGCTGTGCAAAGACACAACTATGAAGGGTGGAAGGGTGAAGCCTCTCTCCCCTTCTGCAATGCAAAGAGGCCAGGAGAGATGATGGAAAGCTGAACTATAGGCTCATTCACATCGGTTTGGAATAATATATATAATATAAATAATCCCGTGATGGGGTTATTTATCTAAGGTGTCTCAAGAGCCTAATGGCTGAAAGCTTTTAACTCATATCACTACCTCTCCTAAACTCTTCTTCAACTATAGTTATCTCTATCCAGCCCAAATGTTCTCTGTGACCACATTGCTGCTGCTGCCTCGAGCCTCTGGCTCCCTGAAAGTGTCTCCTGTGTCTCTGCTGCAACATTTGCATTTGACAATCAGGACTTCATCTCCACATCTAATCAAAATACATCTACAACAAAAATATCACTGTGATGTCTGATGCATCCACTGCAAAATTACACAAAAATCTCTTTGTCCCTCCCAGGCAGTTCCACCAGAGTGGCGAAGAAGAAAGACCCATTTCACACTTTATTGATCCAAAACAAGGGTCTTTGGGGTTGGCTTTTACTTCCAGGTGCTGAGGAACCAGGTAGGGGTGGCTGGGTTGAGCTGTGGAGTCACTCAGATGTTAAATGCTTGAGTAGCACCTTGAGGCATTGAATAAAATGGCACTGGGGGACAATTTATATTAACATTGGGTAGAAATTAGGGTGGTGCAGCTGTTTGCCTTCCCTCTGAGCAGGGGTCAGTGCTCAGGATGGGAGCAGCTGTGGCTGCCTCAAAGTAGATCCTTGCTTACACCCTACCTCCAGCACTGCTTTCGGTGGCATTGGGGGCTTCTATTTACCTTTGCAAGACTCCAGTCCTTAAAAAATCCTCAGCAGTCCTCCCAAGCATTCAAGTTCCATGATTCTCAATGTAAAATAATTACCCAGGCTAATTAAGCATTATGATAGCTATGGGTGTTTGTAATTAATTTTTGGCTTGTTGCTATTCATGGTCACTGACTATCCCCTAAGGTCTTTGCTGCTGCTCTGGAGAAGAATAAATAAAAGGCACCAAACCTAGCTTGTGCTGTTGGTATCTGGTGTATCTGCTCAATGTTGTCACGTAAGATGATCCATGTACAGCTTTACAGCATATATATGTATATATATGTGTGTATAATGTATCAAATGTAGTGGGTTGTGTTTGGGGCTTATCTTGTTCTCCTGACATGAACCACAGAGTGTTTGGAGTTGTGTAATAACCAAGCATGGCAGGAAGTTGTTTATTCCCTAGGGTTGGTTGGTGGTGCATGAATGAAGTATCAAAATCCCTCCCTGGCAGAGTTTTCCCAGTAGGGCCTTCTAGTTTGGCTACAATTGAACAGTCTCTGGCAGTGACTTCACTGCATCCAGTCCAAAGTACAGTTCAGCTGCTGTAACTGCTGCTCACGCTGGGACATGCCAGGACACAGTTTCCTACTGAAAAACCTTATTATCTTCCCTCCTCCACTACAATAAAATCTATGAATATCAGTGAATTGCTATTGACATCTCTGTTTCCCAGATGATGGAGTAGAATGGCCTTATCGACACCAGCATATATTTAAACCTCTAGGACTGTCCATATAGATGAGAGTTTTGTTTCCCAAAACTGCCCAATACCATGTCTCTCCCTCAAGTCCATGCCTAGACTCAATGCTGCATCTTTAACCCTTGCTCAGTTCCTTTATTAATATTTCTGCCTTGGGAGAGATGCCAATGAGACTGAAGAGAGAAGAGTCACTGATGTTAATTTGACCTTTATGAATTTAATTTCCAGACTCATCCCAGGGGAGTCAGTGAGTGAATGAAAGAGCAGTGGCACGAGGGCTGCTGGAGCAGTGTCAGCACTTTGGAAGCTGAGCTGGAGTGGGTGGAAAGGCTCTTGGTCAAATTGTCACCTGCTGTGAAAGGTGTTACCAAACTTATCTGATAGTGCCTGTGAAGATTATGTTCTCATCACTCACTGATTCTTAACCACAGGATTTTGCTGTATCTGGAACAATTAGATTTGCCTTAATTAATGCAAAGCTACACTCCCTTTCCCCCTTGAAAAAAACTTCAGTTAAAAACCCACATATATTTTTTTTAACTCTGCTTGGCTTTGATGCCATTTTTCTTTGCTTTAGGTGAACTGGCACTGGCATGAAACATTTCTTTCCTGACAAGGAATTTTCTGTGATCCTCTCTCTCTCCTGAGCACTCAGATTGTGATACTAAGCTCAAAGGAGTGGATTGTGCAGCCAGGACCACAGGGGGATGTGAGAAATTGTATGGCAACTCTTTGGGATGATCCAGGAGCTATGAATGGCAAAACAACCCCTTGAAAGTGCTCCGAGCTCGCTCTGTTCAAGTGCTTTCTGCTGAGCTGCTTTGGAAAAACATCATTATTAATTAGGAAGAGGCTTTCCCATCTTCTCAGATTCTCCCTTCCCTCTCCAGGGAAGCAGTCCTGCAGCTGCAGGAAATGATTTGCCCCAGTGGATGAAATGACCTTATCCCTCACTGTTGTGGTTTTAAAGCATTAGCTAAAATTCATTAGAAAACTTACTCATTTCTTGCTGTGAGATATGGATTAGGAGAAGGGCAAAACAGGCTTAAAGAAAGTTTATTAACAAAACTACAAGAATAAGAAACCATAATAAAACCTCCAGAAACCATTTTTCCCCACCACCCATTCCCGTGTTTAATTGACAACATAGAGACAAAACCTGGTGGTTAAAACAGTCCCAACTTTGCTATAGTCTTTTCATCAGTCTTGGTAGAGAAAAAGAGGTTCTCTTTTGTCAATCTATGGAGAGTTTTTCACAAGAAAACCATTTTCTCATGGCTTCCAATTTCTCTGATGCCAGCTGCCCAGAAAACTCTGCCATCAGTCCTTTCCTCCCATTTCACACCACTCTGAGGTGTGTTCTTGGGCCATGATTTAAGGGGTGTCATTTTAAGGATGAGTTATTTGAAGGCAAAAGTTCTCTTCATCTGTCTCTGTGATAATCTCTGAAAACAGAAGTTTTCCCTTTGTCTCTTAAGGGCCACGAATCTTCAGCAACTCTCGCTTCTCTTTTTCTGTTCCAGCATCTCATAGGATCAAAACTACTTCACCATTTGCTCAGCTTCATCAATGAATTACCTTTGCTTAGATCCACACTTTGAAATACTCCATCCCCCCAAAAATAGTCTTTCATGAATTAAAGGAGTTTTTTCAGAACATTATTGTCCATCTCCATAGCTTTAACAAAAGAATATTTCAGCTTAAGGCATCTCCTTATTTCTCTCCCCATCTGAAGCTTAATTCTTTTCTTCACTGTCTTTGATAGTTTATGTTGTCTCTTTACCTGTTTGATCACTCTCTCTTCCCCTCTCCCTGGAAAAAGGATTAATCTGCAACTCTCATCTGGATAGTAAAAGGGTTAAAATCTGGCTCAAGCCACAGCAGGTGTTCATGCTGTCAGGTTTCAGCTCAGAGCTGGGGACCCCCCTGGGAAAAGCTTCAGCCACCCCGGAGGCTTCCAGGGAAGCTGCAGCAGAGCTCAGCCTGGCCTGGGTCCAGGAGAAGCCCCTGCAGGCCCCATCTCCCGGCCGGGAGCCACGGCAGGGCCAGCCCAGCCCCTGCCTGGGCTGCATGGGCTGGGCAGGGGACGGGGGCCCAGCTGGAGCTCTGTTACCTTTCACAGCCAGAAACCAAAAACAGAGAGAAATTCCTGGGCTTTGGTTTTTAAAGGGTGGTGTTCACAGGCTGATCTCACTTTTCAATGGTCAAAACTACTGTCAATTCTCAGAAATGGCCAGTTATTGGTCAGGAGAAAAAACTGATCAGCCTCAAGCAGCCTTAACTTCCTTATATGTTTCCTACTTTTTTCTTAAATGCCAATCTGTCACACTCCCAGACGGACTTTGTGTCAGGGCGAGAAGCAGCTGCACACAGATCCCAGGGAGTTGAAATCATGAGCCAGAGAAATCCATAGTCTGAGTCAGTCCATGGGCTGGGAGCCCTGGGGACAGCTCCTATCCACCCCAGACAAGGGATGCTGATCCTCATTGTGTTCCTTTTAAAGCCTAATCTGAGACTTTCATGGCTTGCAGATGTTTAGGGGGGCAGCTGACCTGACTTCCTGAATCCACCACGTTGACCTCAAGTCCAGCCTGATATTCCTCCTTCACTGCTACTGTGGGAGGCAGCTTTCTGATGGAGCATCCAGCTGTGCCCCTGGTCCCAGGCCCAGCCAAAATCAGGGGCTGACAGACCGGAATTTTTGATGGATACCTAAACTATCAACTTGGAGCATGACAACAAGCCTGAATTCTCAGGGATATTAGCCCTGCATTGGGGGCTGGAAGGAAGATGGGTGAAACCATGGTGATAGGAGGGCAGGACAGGAGAGTTCTGTGAGGCCCAGGTGCTCTGTGTCCTGGGATAAGAGTTTGCATGACCTGCACCTTCTGAGTCTGGACAGCATCACCCCAGTGTGCCTCCGCCCTCTATCCCACTGCTGTGGCACAGACTCTTCAGCTCAATGCATATGTCTAGAGAGTGCTGACACTCTGCTGACATCAGACAGACATCCTCCTTAAAACCAAGAGATTTAAGGGGCTGGTGAGCCAGAAGAGCTCATGCTGAGCTGTGTTTCAGAGGAGGGATGCTGCACACAGGCACGAGGCAGTGCCTGTCCATGCATCCAGCAGATCCCCTGCCAAGCCACATGCTGGGGGACCACTGGGCTCGTGTTATCAGCATGTGTCATTTCCCAAGGGTTGTGAAGACATTAACAAATTAAATCTCAGGGCCCTGCTGAAATTCTCATTAGCATCATCCTAACAACTCTTCATGTTAAACAGCTCAAATCATAATTTCCAGTTTAGTAAATATCCCTCCATAGGAATTGCTGTCTCCATCAGTCAGGGCCTAAATGGACCCCAAGGACCAGGACTGGTGCTGAACTCCACTTCCCAAGCAGAACCTCTTGTTCTAAGTCCCCTCCTCCAGCTAGAAGTGGCTCTCACATGTGCCAGCCCTTTCCAAATTAATGAGTTGCTCAGGAATTGCAGGTTGGATGTGTTGAGACAATGGACAATTTGCAAATCTGAAGCCTCACATTCTCCCCTCTATCCTGGAGATGGACACTGAGGTGCACTAAATCCTGCTTGGAATCATGCTGATAAATCCCCACTGAGCAAAACCCAGTCCTTGCAGAAAGCAGTGCTCAGTGCTTAAGGATGATGGTGGTTCCAGGACAATCCATCAGCAAACCACAGCTGAAAATCTCCCTGCTTTCTGACCTTTCCCTGGGGCTTGGGAGGTTCCAGTAGTGGGTGGAAAAGGGCACAATCTGGGCATGAGGATTCTCTGGGACCTGCCTGTTGCCCTGGATCAGGATTTATCACAGCTTAACATGGCCAAGGGCAGGCCCTCACTGAGCAGAGTGATGAAACCTTCAGGGAGCTAAGCACATGAGTGATAACCGTGTTTCTTCGCTGACCAGACATCCAGACATTGCCATTCCACAGGCAACTTTGCTGTCCCCTGGCTTTCTGCCTCCACCTTGTGGGCTTGGGAAGCTTCTTGCAGGGCAAGGTAGTCTGGGTTTGGCCAGACACCGGATCAGCCGGTGCCAAGATGGGATTTTTTAAAAAGGAGCTGTTAATGCTGCTTTTAATAGGTGGTGGGCAGCCATCCCTCAGCTTTTGGTCTCCATGGCCATTCCTCAGTGCCCAGTCCTGTGGCCAGCCATCACCCTGATGGAGAGTTCTTTGGTGCCCTGTCTGATTCTCATTCAGTCATGGAGAATCAACACTGCAGCATTCTAGAGCTGGGTAGGACTTTTCTCCTTGTCCTTGTGAGCTACACTCCTTCTCACACTTCTCCTCCCTCAAAACCTGTCACTGAACCAGACCTGTCTGAGGTGACAACCAAGTCACATCCTGAATATAGACTAAAAGCCAATTTTGGCACAAGCTCTGACCTGATTGGATCAAACCCATGTACAGTGTTGATTAGGAGTGGGCTGTTCATGACCCTGATGCTCCCACGCATCAAGGCTGAGCCAGCCCTGGCCCTAGTGATATCTCTAGAAGCTCTTCATGGCTGGTGGCCTCCCAAAGAGCTCAATGGCATCTGTGTAGAAGTGCTGGGGGGGTGAAAGGTGGTTGAGCCTGGAGCCACAGTGGCCACTAGTGACGTGGTTTCCACAAAAAGTCAAAACCTCCAATCATCACCCCTGGGCAGGGGATGGTAGAGAGGGGCCAAAGTCTTGGTGTCTCTGGGCTTGGCACAGAAGAGGCAGCCAGCCCTCATGTCTCTTTGTCCATCTCCCCCTCTGTCCAACAGACATTTATTTTCTCTATTTTCATCTCCTGAGATCTGCACCTTCTACCAGCCTCCACTGTCACCGTTCAAGGAGGCTGCAACAGGTGAGCCTAGAGACACCCCTGACACCCTCTACCAAGCACTGGATCCCCAGGGGGTGGCTTGAGTGGGCTGGGGGACACTCACCAGTGTGGTTGGTGACAGGTGGCAGGCTCTCACAGTACTGCTCCTGGATGGAGGCTGCAACCAGGCTGTCCCAGAGGAGAAATGCCTGCATGGGGAGAGAGCAGACAGGGTTGGGGGTATATGTACAATATGCTGCTTCCCCATCCCCAAATGCCTCCTTGGGTCAGATCTGAGTTTGCCCATGTCTGGGTGGGTACCACCTGCAAAGCTGCACAATGGACATGTACCATTTTCAAGATGGTTTCCTAGGGAAACTGCTTATCCAGACCCAAGGCTACAGGACTGCTCTGTTTCCCACCCAGTGATCCTGTCCTGCCTCGAATACCCCACTCAGCAAACCCTCCTGCAATGCCTACTGAATCATGGAACCTCTGCTATTTAGCATTTTATTCAACACTTTTGGGTTTAGCATCTTTCAGTCTTGAGAGCAGACAGGGGAAACATGATGAGCCTGACACTACACTTGGATTTTCAATCCCTTACTGAATTCACAGCCTTGTAAGCTGTCAGTGGGAAGATGGTCATACACGTCCTTAAGGAGATCTGATCCACAGACAACCAGCTCTGGCTGAAGTCTTTTTTTCAGGAGAATTGTCAGCAGACACCAGCATTCCCATTGAGTCAGAAGGTACCAACCATGATCTACCCAGCTCTGCTAAAACTCTGCACAAGGAGCTATTTTGGAAAAATGATTATTGAATTATTGTGTCTTTGCAGGAGTTTGGGGAAACTAAAAATGAGAAAGGCAGTTGCCAGGATGAAAGGATTGCAAGGATGGCAGAGGGATGGTGCTGTTGGTCTCACAGCTCACCAGGGTGCTAGAGGAGGGCCTGATATTTTGCAGAGCACAGATTTTTACACAAGCAGCTGTCCACTCTGTCCTCCAGCTCAGAGAAGAATGACACAGGCTCATCCCCTTTGCTCCACCAGCACTAATGGTGGATGAGGCTCAACTCCACTTCTTTCATATCCAATGACTGACCAAACCCCGTGGAGAAAAGTCACTGATTAAATGACAGAGCTGTGCCCCAAAACACATCACATACAGATCCCTTGGGAAACAGCCCTGAGCCTGAAAGCAGAAAGGGCTGCAGCTCCGCTGCTTGCAGGCATACTCCCAGCTCCTTGGGGAAAACAACCTCCCCATCAGCCAGGCTGCTTCCTAGTGCCTGACCCTTCCTGAGTGCCATTCACCTCCCAAACTGCTCTGAATGGAGCCATAGAAACACTGTCTGCCCTTGCTGGCACACTCAGCCATCCTCATGCCTTACCAAGGCATTTGTAGGATTTATTCAGACACAAAGACAAGTTCAGCACCCACTTACTCTTTTCCAATCAACTGTTTACTGCCTTAGGAAGCTGGATTTGACAGCAAGAGAGATGTCAGGCAGACGTATAAATGGAGCTGAGAATAGCTCCCTTGTTGTGACTGCTCCAGATGGCACAGGGGATCCAGCAACTCAACCCTGCCCTGGCATGGGAGCTGCTAGGAGCTCCCGAGTGCTGGTCCTGCAGGACCCCAGCACCTCCTGAGTTTCCTTTCAGAAAGCTGAGACCACCCAAACTCCAGACAGGGAGGAATCAAGGTGCAGCGAGTTTGCTTCCCTTTGTGTTGATGCCCACAGCTGGTGCCCACTGCACCAATTGGTGAGTGGCATGGGCAGCTGGGACAGAAGAGTTCTGCTCAAAAGATGGCTGAGATGGTTTGTCTATCTGAACAGGCTTTCAAGTGTTAATTGGATGTGTTTCTCCTAATGGCAGCCTGCTCCAGTCTGGCAGTGCCCATTCTCCTTCCAGACACAGGGAGAGGTCTTGGCGCTGAGCAGCACACAGACCAAGCCACAGCCAGAGAGGGGTGTGGATGGAGCAGTCACTGCCCTTTGCAGGCTTTGTAAATGAGCTGAAACAGCTACAGAAGGAAGAAAGAAAGGAAATAAAGGATCCCCAAAACAGAACTAAGAGCTTTTTTACCAGGCTATGAGTCTTGTCAGAGACTTTGGCAGTGTGGCCAAAGCTCTTGACAGAGGCAGAGGTTTTGTCCCACTCCTGTCAGCATTTTGAGGGGAATAAACAGGGCTGGTGGCAGCTGCAGGGGGACTTGCCCCAGTAAAAAAAATAAATTTTTATCTGGCACTTGCTGGTTGCTGCCTTATCTGTTTTGCTCTTTGTGGGTTAGTGCAACCCCTCCCCACACTTTTACAGAGAGAACAGGTCAAAGCTCCCTCCTTGAAGAGCTTCTTGTGCCAGAGCATCACTACTCTGTAAGATGCCACATGGTGCCCAGCAGGGCCCAGCCTGGCTGGGCTGGAGCCAAGCTCACCTCAAGAGCCCTGACACTTCAGTGGGTCATGCTCAGGCCAGAAAGGGGCCGTGTTCCTCCGCCCTGGCCTTGCCTTCACACAGCTATGGCAGATCTTGCTTTGCAGGCAGGAACACTTCTGTGACCTTTTTCAGCCTGCCAAAATCCTGGAGAGCCTCAGCTGAGCCCTCAGCTGTCCATGAAGGAAGGCAATCTGCTCCTCTGGAAGCAGTCACTTTGCAGAGAGCTCCCAGTTAGCCCAGGGAGCTACTCCCACAGGGATGGATGATTGTTGTGCTGGGAGCTTCATGGGCCCTGTGAGGGCCTGCACTGGCAGCAGCTTCTTCTCCATCAAGAGCCAGCATTGTCTCCCCTGCTGTTGCCTCAGTATCTTCCCAGCTCCCTTCCAGGCTCTGTAACATCCCTCTTTTATACACATGGATGGTTCTGGTTTAACCTTGGACCTGATGGAGCACCAGCTCCTTCCTTTCATCCTCACATTCTCTATAGCAGGACCAGCCCCCCCCAGTCCTCACTGCACAGGTTAGACACCAAAACCTGACACTGCTCCCGTGTTTCCTACATCCCACACACAGCAAACATCTGCTGTGCTTGGCATCCCACCAGCCAGGTGGGACAGGGCTGTTTCAGAGGGGAAACTGAGGCACTGAGGACCACTTGCCTCAGGTCACTCAGGCTGTGGGGCACTGTGTGGGGCAGATCTCTCCAATCTGGACACACCAACCATGTCCTGGTGCCACCAGGGCTCCAAGAAATCCAAAAAAACAGCTCTTCCTGTGCCTGTGAGGGGAGGGTGGCAGGTCTCCTGGTCCAGGAGATGTAGCACAGTGGACTAGGACAGTGTCAGCTCATCAGCACTGGGAGTCTGGCTGCTGCTGTGGGGCTGAGCAACACAACCACACATGGTGTCATGTCTCTGTGACCTGCCACTGACCTGGCACAAAAATTCCATTCATAACAATTAGGAATTGTGGTCCCTTGTGGTGCTTTCACTCTCCAAAGCAATCCACAGATACTAATTAATACATTCACATCCAGCTGCAGCATCACCCCCTGCACTGTGCTCCCAGAGACAAACATCTGTCCTGCCCTGCAATAATGTCTCAAAAAAGAGGGGATCTGCAGGGCAGGAAGGGCTGACAGCTCTGAGCATCACATAGATGGCTTGTGGCCTAATTAGCAATCTAGGAGGTCCAATGCTGAGGGGCTGTAATTGGAGAGCAGAGCAACTAGTGGGATTGAAGCCTGGGATTGAAGCCATGGGAGACAAGGGTTTTGCATAGAGCTGGGGAGGGCAGTGGGTGCAGTGGACAGTGATGGCCACCATAACCTTCCTGGGAGGAGGAACAACACCAGCCACTCTGGAGTCGTCCTTGCTGGAAGGGCCTCTCTGACCCATCATCTCTGCTCCCTGGCTTGGCTGGGCTTGCTGCCCACCACAACACTTGCTGTGGAAGAGGAAAGACCTCCTGGAACACAGGACCAGCAGGGAAGGGCTGAGCAGTTCCTGCCCTGGACCTTTGCTGAGGTTCCCTGGGGCATTAGGCAGGGATGGAGCCTGTTCTTGACTCTGAGCCTGCAGCAATAGGTGCCAGACTTTGTGTGTTAGATACAGTGACTATTAGAAGAGCTGGATGCCAAATTCAGATGGCAGAGCAGCATCAGTGGTGTAGGAAAGGAGCAGCACATCCTGCCAGGACTGCAGCTGGAGGTGGCCTGCAACAGCCTGACTGAAAGAGATGAGCCTCAAATGTGCTTGGAGGTGCCTCCAAATCCCCATGTCTCCTGCCTTCACTGCCAGAAGGAAGTGTCTCCTCTTTGCCTTTGTCTCCTCTGACTTCCAGGCACTGTTTTCTGCAGCTGGGGAGCTTCTTACCTGCTCCACTTTGAGGGCTTTTGCTTGGAACTGGGTTCAGTTTCATCCTCAACTGAATCCACAAATGAAACCCCCAGGCAGCATCTGGTCCATGAAGGACCCTCTTTACACCTCTGTCTTAAGTAACCTGCTTTGCCACCCATGATCTCAGGGTTCCTCTGAGCCCCTTCTCTGCCCTACCAAGCCCCTGTTGCTCCTTCATTGCTTTTTCCAAAACCCCATACCAAGCCCTGCCAGCATCAAGGCATCAAGGCAAAGCTCAGGCAATGGAACAAGGCTCAAAGCAAGACCCATGGGGGGATTTTCCATGGCTGATGTTACTCAGGGGGAGAGCAGGCAGTGAGAACATCTCCATCTGGCATTACAATCTGCGAGTTTATTAATTTATCTGTATTAGAGGGCCAGTCCCTGTGGTGTGAAGACAGGAGCTTCGGTGAGAGTGTTTATTCTGTTTGGAGTCTCTCTCCGAGTGTGCTGGATGCAGATCCTAACAAAAGAATATCAATCAGGGCTAAATGAATAATACCCTGTAAAAACTGATATATGAGCAATTAAAGGTTTTCCTGGATTAAGCTCTGGTCTCCCTTGCTTTCCATAAATAATTCTGACTTCATTTATCTGTCAGGAGAGACATGGATTTTTGGGGACAGGTGAAAAAATGACTAAAGGCATTTGGGTGTTGGAAGCTAAAGGCATAAACAATCTGGGGAAGAGGACACAATCCATGCAGCTCCTATGGGATCTGGATTTTCAGGGGCAAAGGCTGCTGAGGAAGATTGGAGTGATGGACACAAGCCTGGGGGAGGGCTGTTTTTCTAAGGCAATTTGATTAAACTCTCCTGCAGAGACATTTCAATTTGGGATTGGACATTTTTCCCTTCAGCTCTGTCCCAAAACCCACATCTTGACTGTTCAAAACCCACATCTTGACTGTTCCAAACCCCCTCCTTCACCCATCACCTTTTTAGGGTTGTGCCCTGGGATGAACATCCACAATTTAATTTCTGCATAATTTTTTTTCCTGTTTATTGACGTTCACAGCTCAGAAAAGCTTGGCCACACCAAAGCTGCATCTGCCTCTGCTTTTCCAGGGTGGATAAGGCAGATTTCAGGGTGGAAAAGGGACTGTAATCTGAAAAATGCCAACCCACTTTGCCACTGGCCATTGGAATGGAGACGACTGCTCCTGGGAGGGTGACTGTGGATAAAGCAGAGAAGGAGGCTCTCTTCTATCAGTTCAGAATACAGTTAGGGAAAAAAGGAAAAACAACAGATGGCCCTGGGTATGTTATTCCATCTTCAGAAAGAGCCACCCTCTCCTGAGTGACAGCTCTGATGTGTTGGACAATGGCTCCTGGGCTCTGCTTGGTGAGGGAACCCCATGGTTTGGGGGCTGATTTGTGTTTTCTTTGGGTTCTAAAATTGTTCTCACAGACAAAGCCATGGATGCAGCCTTTCTAAACACTGCAGACTCAATTGCAGCTTGAGTTTGTCACTCACAACTAACTTCTAGGCTAACCCTGTGCAGGATTTTGGGTAAGCAGAGCTGGATTTTAGGGCAGGGTTGAGCTGGTGGTTCTCATTGTATTCCTATATATTCATCCTATCGTGACAGAGCAGCTTTTCTGGGAACAGGCTGTGCCTTCTCCATTCACTTCTTTGCTGGAGATGTGAAACCACAGGGATGATTTCATACACACTGAATCAACTCCAGAATTTAAGGAAAGTGAGGACTGGAAGATATCCCCAGGGTCAGCATGTCCTGAAACTGCAGCTCTGCATCTTATGCAAGGATTGGAGCATGGAAGGGGCAGGGGCTGATTTTTTGGCCTTATTGCTGCTGGAGTTGACCAAGTGAGAGGAGAGGGGAAGCTATCACACCCTCAGCATCAATCTGTTTTTTCATAAAATGCTTTTGCAGTTTTACCAGCCCCAGAAATGTCATTAGCTCCTGACAGAGCTGCATGTGGAATGGTTTAGTTTGTTTAAATGACTTGCAGGGTGCCAGGGAGCACTTGGCAGCAAGTTTGCCTGCCTGTCTCCTAGTCTCTCTGTCCGACCCCATGAGGGATGTCTATCCAGTAAAGCAACATGGGTAAACCAATGCTAAAGTGGAAGTGCTAGGCAGGTGCATGGGGAACACCTAAACTGTGCCAACACACAGTATCTGCAGGGGAGGTTTGTCTGTGCTGAGCTCTGTGTTGGAGCTGGGCTGTTGCAGGTCTCTGCACTCACAGATGCTGCTGCAGGTACACCTGGCTGCAGGGATGCACTCACAGCTGGAGTTTCATGGTCCTTTAGCCCATGCTGTCCCCAGGAAAGGGTTGGGGCTGTTCTGGAAGAGCAGCCGAGTTTTGAATGCATGTATTTATCAGGAAAGACAGACAGCTTGACTGCAAAGGAGGGTAGGGTTGTAGATTGGCTGATTCTTTTTGGAGCCAACTGGGAGAGGCTTCTCTTTGCCTGGACTGGTTTTTGTGACCCCCCTCCCAGTTCCAGCCTCAGCACAGGGGTGATTTTGTCACAAACGCTGGAAGATTTTTAAGGACTTGTTGCTCCAGCTTCACAAGGAGAATATCTTGGGGAATACCTGGGGATGGTGAGGGACTCCCCTGAGCCCAAGGAGCTTTGGCAGAGCCTGGGAGCTGTGTCTCAGCAACTTTGGGCTTCTTTTGGACAACTTTTTGCTCACCGAGGTTATCAGGAGCCATCAGCTCACATGGCTGCTCTGCCAGAACATATCCTTACTGCACTGGGTCTGTGCTGTCCCCACAGACTGGCCAAGAAGGATCTGGGCTGGGGGAAGAGATCCTGCCCTGTCTCACCTTTATTTCTTACATCAGAGCCAAACAAAACCTGAACCAGGGAATGTAACAGCAAAAGAGCTCCCATAAATCCTATCAATCAGGCTTAGTGAGTTGCAGCGACAGGAGAGAGCAGCTGCTCAGAAGAGGAGCTTTTAGAAGCAACACCAGCTTGGGGGGGGTGTGGGGGGGTGTGTCTCCTGGTGCACATCAGCTCTTCTCATCACTTAGGTGAGAACTTTCCTGGCCCAGAGGTGCAGCTGATGCGTGAGGTGCACAGCCTGTGGGGTACGAGGCTCTCCCTCCACTTTACCTGCTGTTTTAACTCTGCAGTCCCAGCTGGAGCACTGAGACACCATTTTGCAGCCAGCAAGGCGGATTTGCTCTTTTACCCCTCCTTGACACCGAGGTTTTATTGAAAAACTGATCATCAAAAACTGCCACTACAAACTTGTTCAAATAGAATTCAAAATTTCACTGGAAATCCCATCATCTCGTTTGTCTAGGGTCTGGGATTTAAACAAGCTTTGGGCTGTGAATGTTTCCCTCCTCGATGGGCCCTCAAGGAGGAGAAATATTGCTTCTGACAAAGCATTTGCATATTGTGCAGAGCTGCAAAATTAGCAGTGGCTACAGTTCCACAGCAAGCAAATTACAAAAAGTCTTGTGCTTTGCAGATGCAGGAGGGAAAAAGGAGAGGCTTCCTTAGAAAATTAATTACGGGAGGGGGTGGGTACAGTTGGGCTCTGCATTTGCACTGTCCACATCCATCACATCCCCAGAGTGGCCAACCCCTCCCAGCAGCCTGGGAAACTGGTGGCAGCTCGTTTCACTGGGAGATGCAAGGATGGGAATTGCTGGGTGTAGCTACAGCTGGGAGCTCTGGGCTGAGCTCAAGAGGACCTGGCTGCAATTCCCCCCACCCTTTAAATGATCCTTTCACTCACTTCAGCCCCGCTCTCGGATAGTTTTTGAGCATCACAAGCTCTTGCCAAGCCCCAGTGCCTCGACTGGAAGAATTCTCCCGAGGGCCCTTTGTGTTGCGGTTTCTCTTTTTACTTTTCCCTTCAAAGAAACAGAAAAGTCACGGCGGAGAACGCGGGCTGTGCAGGGCGCAGGGGCGAGGGGAGGGGGCAGAAGGACTCTTACGGGAGAAGAGGACTTGAAGCATCTTACCTGCAGGAGAAGGAGGAGGAGGAGGAGGAGGGCAGGACGCGGCTTGGGCACCATCCTCAGCTGCCCCTGTGCCCAGCTCCCCGGGGCATGACTGGCAGCGTCCCCGCTCCTGCTGGGCTGCTTCTGCCGTCGGGGAGAGAATCCTCCGGGCTTCCAGCGAAGGAGCTTGGCGGGTCCCCGCGGGGCTGCGGGTCCTTCTGCGTCCCCGTCTTGCCTTTTATAACCTCCCTGGAGCCAGTCCTCCGGCTGCCCACCTTCCAGCTCGCCTGGCGATGGGCTACATCCCTCCTCACCAGCCTCCCACTCCCCCTTCTCTCCCTCCTCCTCTCCCTCCTCCCCTTTTCCTTCCTCCACCTCCCCGGTGCCTTCCAACTGAATTTGATTCCCCCCCCCACTTCTCCTTCCCTCCCTCAGCATCTTCAGCAGCAGAAACTTCCCACCAGCCCAGGGACCGCCCTCCCGGCTCTCCTTGGAGTGGGGCTTCTCCTCTGCACCCCTCTCACTCCCATCGTGCAGATGCTGGAGGGTGTCTCCTACGAAGCCTGGGGGTTTCCCTTGTGTCTGCAAAGGGTTTGGGGCTGCAATTTGCCGGGGATGAGGGGCTGAGTGGGTGTTACGCATTTCGGAATTTCACTCCAGGGCTCTGGCAGAGGAACTGGGACAAGGCGAGGTTCCCCCGCCAGCCTTTGCAGCCCCTTTGCAGAATGGAACACGAAGGGAAGGCAGAACCCCTTTTCTCTTCCACAGGGATGCGGTGGAAGGGATTTCAGCCCTGCCTTGTCAGGGGGATGCTCCTGAGGAAAGGATGGGGATGTGGGGCAGGTGGGTGCGGGGGTTTGTGCATAAGGGCGGTCCCGGAGGATGGGGAGGTGCTGCTGGCACCGTGCTTTGTCCCGTAGGATGGGTGCTGGGATGGGCAGAGGTGATGGGGCAGGAGCAGGGGGGGCTTGAACTGATAGAGAAGGGAGAGGATAAGTTGAACTGATAGAGAAGGGAGAGGATAAGTGTCCTGGGAAGCGTGGGGCACAGTGGTGTGGGAGAGCCTGGATGATGCTCCTGAGGTCTTGGATAATGACATTTCCCTTCTCCCCCAGCATAACCCTCAGGCTTTAAAGGGTCTCCTGTCATACCTCTGTGTCTCAGCTCCTGCTGTCTGCTGGTCTCCTGGGGAGGGATCCCATACACCCCTTTCTTAGGGATGCCATTGTCAGGATTTGGTCCATCCCTGAGCTGGATGAATTTCTGTCTGGGTTAAACCTGCTCCCCCATGCCAGTGCAGTTTCAATTCATGCCTTCTGTACTCACTGAGGTTTAGGGGGCTGCCCCAGCTGTGGGTGCTGTGCCTGTCCTGGAAGTGAGCCAAGCTCCATCAGCCCAAGGTGAGCTGGAGGTGACAGCCAGGCAATACATTGTGCTTCCTTCTTTCCTTGAGGAAATAAAGATCAATGAGGTGTACTGCTGGGAGGGGGATGCTGGCAAACATTGCCATGGGACCACCATCCACCATCCAGGGGTGTGATATTTCCCTTAGCTGATGATGGTTGATCCACCACCAGCTTCTCACAAGGTGCTGGATCATGCTTCCAACTGCAGCCTCTGCCTCTAGGAATGGCTGCAGACCACAGCGGGCTGCAGATGATCAATAGGAGGGCAGTGTCCCTTGATGAATTCATGGCCACAGCCTCCATCCATCTTCACTGAGCTGTTCTTTGTCTCTGGAGTACCCAAGAGGGCAGGAGGGGATCAAGGTCTTTCCTGAGCTGTGGGACCAAGGCACAAGGACTGGCCAGGGCTGTGTCCCAGCATGTGGGGGCACCCAATGACCCATCCCATCCCAGTAATTAAGGGAAATAAACAACAAAGACATTAATCTTCTGGCATTAGCTGGGTTTAATCAATTGTGATACTGCTTTGGCAAAGAAATCTGAAAATATATAAAGCTCTGGTAAATTCAAGAAACTTTTTGTTTCTGAGGTCTTTTAACATCCCTCCCCTGACAAGGATGGGATGAGACAGACTCCAGAGCCCTCGTGTTACCTGTCACTTCAATAAGCCCATGGAAAATGCAGAATTTTCTAAAAATGGCTTGAGAAAGCTCCCAATAACTTTAAGCATCCTGGATTAGTTGGGAGATCATGTAGTTCCAACCCCCTGCCATGGGATACCTTCTACCATCGCAGGTGTAGGGTACAGCTCCTGGTCACAAAACACACTCTGGTTTTGGGGGCTGCTCAGGGCTTTGTGCACACAAGGGACAGAAGGAACCTTGCAATGGCAAGCACCAGAGACCTCATTCCCACACCAAGACCAAGGATTGTCTTTCACCATCTCAGCCTTCCCATGGCCACCAAATGGGACATGTAGGATGGCCATGCTCTGCTCAGGTGCCCTGTACGAAGTAATGCAGGGAAGGCAGAAGTGAACACTAACTATTTTTAGTTAAGGAATTGGTTGCAAGGGACACAGGGATAATTCCTTCCCCATATATCAGGGAAAAAGCTGCAGTACTGTTTGAAGCACCTAATTGAGGGGATTTATTGTAAAATGCAACTTGTCAGATGTGGCAAAGGAGAAATAAAACATTCCCTGAGGCACAGAAATCAGTCCATTCATCATGGTTAATCTCAAACTCCTCAGTGCGGTGCAGAGACAAACGTGGGAGATGGGTATTAGGTATGGAAACAATGAAGAGAAATATCAGATCTCCAGGAAGGAGGGAGAGGAGAAGTTTAGTCTGACTTACCTGCCTTTGGTAAATTATTATTATTTTATGTAACTGCATGTGGTTTGATGGTCCTGTGTCTGAGCAGCTCCATGACAGCTGCACTACAAGGCTGTTTGTGGGACTTACACCCCTGCCCTGCTTCTACCCTGTCCCTGCAGCCAACCCTCTCCTGGTTTGGGAAAACTCCATGTGTCCCTCCTGCACTATAGGGATGATACTGAGACTAGTCCATATGCTGAAAGGGTGCAAGGAAGTATGTCCCTGCTTCCCACATGGGGCATTGGTGGCAGGGCTTTGCTTCCAGCTGTGACATCTGTAGGAAAAAATAATCCTCGGTGTCCTGTACATTTAGGTCAGGTTAGTGGAAAGGTGGAGTTTGGCTTCTCAGCTGAAATCCCAGCTGAGATCAGCAGTGTGCCTTGACTTCCCCACCTGTGTGTTGGGACTGTTTCTTTCCCAGAAGGTCAAGTGGAGCTGGGAATGCTCAGGGCGTTGCACGGGGGAGGACAGGCTGTCAGCACATGGGGCTGAGTTAGCAGCTGCAGGCTGAGAAAAAATCCAACCCAACACATTATGTTTCTCCCAAGAGACTTGTTTTTTGCCCTGCTTTTAAAATTAATTTCCAAGTTTTTCTGTTCTGTGTCCTTTTCCCTCCCCTTAGACCTGCAGTGAGGGAAACACACTCCCAAACTCCACCTGGCAAAAGAAAGTGGCTGCTGGGACCAAGTTTCCCTCATTCCCGGTCACCACATAGTTTAATCATGCCTCAAATTTGGATATCCCTGTTGTATTTGACCACTCTGTATCACCTGCTTCACCCCTGCAGTCTCACAGCTGCTCTAAGACAAAGAGCAGGAAAGCTGAAGCCACAGGCCCGCTGAAAACATTGCATGGAAGGAAACCAAAGATTGTTACCAACCTCATTTAGTGAGTATTACCTTAGAGCTGGGCTGGCAGATTTTCTTGAAGGCCTTGAAAAATGCTTGGGTGGCCTCTGGACACTTCAGACCCCTGTTCATCCCATCAAACTCTGCTGGAGATGCAGAAGTTGTCCATACAGGAAGACAAACCTTCTGGGAGAAGGAAAACTCTGACACATGGAGCTGGGTTTACTCTGACTCATTGTTCCATGCAGCAAGTGACTGATTCCTTCATTTACATGGATAATTCCCTCCTGCCGTTTCTTTTTCCCACACTGTGTGCATTGATAGGCGATCCCACATTAACAAAAACATGGCAACTGCAAACTAAAACAAGCAAACTCAAGGAAACCCACAAAGATCTGGGATCTAACTGAATTTCTCATTTGCTTCTCAAGTATCTCAAAAGTGTTTGCCATGTTTTTCAAATTGCTTTTGGGAGAATGTGTCAATTTTGAATAGAAAATAAACACAAAAGCATTTGTTTTACGGCTAATTAAACCTCAAGGCAGAATGCTAAACTGATCATAATAAAAGTCATAATTATTATTTTTCTCATTCAAAGCTAAGTCAACTGAAATTTCCCAATCAGCAGTTGGCATTTCCCATCAAACAGATCACAGTGGTTTGTGGTTGGGAAAAACACCATGGTTTTATTCTGGAAACTGATCCCATCAATGCATGAGCCGAAAGTGGCTCTGTCTTCACACAATGTGGGACAGAGATGCACAGCCCTGTCAGCTTTGAGCCTCTTTGTGGCTGTGTCTGTTTGGCAGCACAGGGACCCATCACTGGATTCTGCTGCATTGGCCATGGTGTTGCCCAGATGTACAAGAGTTCCACAGATGTATGTGGATGCATAGATCTCTTGCATGGATCATGGAATCATAAGATTGGAAAAGCCCTCCCAGACCATTGACTCCAACTGCTGCTCCATCCCCAACTTGTTACCAAGTCCAGAGCACTGATGCCATGTCCTGGTGTTCCTTGGACACCTCCTGGGATAGGGACTCCAAACCCCACTGGGCAGCCCCTTGCAATGCTTAATAGCTCTATCCATGAGGAAATTCCTCCTGATGTCCAATGTGAACCTCCCCTGGCAGAGCTTGAGGCCATTTCCTCTTATCCTGTCCCTTGTTCCCTAGGACAAGAGCCTGACTCCCCTAGCTGCCCCCTCCTGTTGGAGTTGTGGAGAGCCAGAAGGTTCCCCTAGAACCTCCTTTTCTCTAGGCTGAGCCATCTCTCTGTCCCCCAGAGGAATGGACATATCCAGAGTGTTACACTCACACCTTTGGGCATAATTCCACAGCGTCATGGACATGGACACATCATGGTTGGTGGAAATGTCCTGCAGAGATTGTGGCAGGGATTGTGATATCCTCAGATATATCTCGTCGTAAAAATGCCTCCCCACTCCTCAGGTCTGCAAATGCCCATCAAGGCAGGAAAGGTTCTGGATGTCTTTAAAACCTGGTTATTTATTCCTTGTATGTTTGATGAAATATTAATTTCGTATCCAAAAGGCAATCAAACTGAGATGATGCACAGGGCCTCAACAGAGACAACAAAAAGCAGCAAAATAAAAATGAAATAAAATTCCAAATGTAATGTAGAATTCTATGAAAGACATCTCTGTGCTGGCACAAAGGGCAGAAACGA